ATTAGACACCATTGAGTGGAAAGCCAAATGAGTGTTACAGCAATACCATCTATTAGGGTTCTGCTGTTAGCAACAGTGAGGGGGAATTTCCTGGCAAGACAGCATGATTTGAAATGTACACTGAAGAAGGGATGGCAAAAGGGAAAAGACACAAATTTATCTAACATTGTGAGCAGAGTGGTGCTGGAAATAAGAATGGCATATTTGAAAAACTATGGGGCATCCAACTAAAGCAGAAGCAGAGTGCGATATTCACAATGAGCACAAAAACATCACTAAAATAGTTAGCAGGATGCTGCCCATTTATGAGATTCTACAGAAAAGACTCCTTACAGAACTGAAGCAGTATAAAGTGGTTCTGTTCAGGCTGGAAACGACAGCATATTTGAATGAAAACAGTAGCAAAAACTCAAAACGCTCCTGAAATAGTGACCTATCTTAGATAATTATTTTTACCAATAGTTTTCTGTAGTCACTGTTTGCTGAACTGCTGAGACCATATTGTGAATATTTATTTAAAGGGAATGAATGTTTTGCTTTATCTAACTTTTGAATCATTTGATAATACCTCCAAAGTTGTACATTTTGGAAAATAATGAAAGAAGACTAAAGAAAGAACAAAAACTTCACATAAGTGGGAAGATTTTACTGAAAAAAAATTAAGTTTTTTACTTTTTTTTTTTTTTAGAAGATGTGCATTAACCAGCAAACATATTAATTTGGTCAATTTTATTGACAGAAAATTTAGAATTTAATGGATCTGTAAAGTATATTGGTTGCAGTGACAGCAAATTATTTACCTATTTCAGGAACAAGTTTATTAAACTCTGAGTTGGAGGTCCCTTGTCAGATCCCAAGGAAAAAAAGGTTGGTATTATCTTATAGAAATCCTTGCATACTAATTATCTGCAAAAGACCCCGAAGGTTTCTGAGGGCAGTGAGGAACGTGATATTTAGGAGAACAAATGTTGCTGGGGTGTGCAGGATTGATTGAAAAGGGAGACCAGACAACCCTGTTGAAGAAATGAAGCAGGCTAACTTAGAGATGATTTAAAGAGTATTGAAGATAACACGGCACATTTTGAAGAAAAATTAACAGTACTTGGTGAATGACAGGTAAAAGAAAAGTCCAAGGAGACTCTGAAGATATGCATGAAAGACTGAGTGGAACAACGCTGTCTGTGATAGGATAGTATCCATGTGCCTACAGGGAAGACAAGTTAATACCACTATTATACAAATTTACGCACCAACCACTAAAGACAGTGAGGATGAAATAGAAGAATTCTACCAACTTCTTCGATCTGAAATTGATCAAACATGCAATCAAGATGAATTGATCATTACTGGTGATTAGAATGCAAAGGTTGGGAACAAAGATGAAGGATCAGTAGTTGGAAAATATGGACTTGGTGATAGAAACAATGCTGGAGACTAGCATGATAGAATTCTGCAAAATCAATGATTTGTTCATTTCAAATACCTTCTTTAGACAGCATAAGAGACTATTATACACATGGACATCATTAGATAGAATACACAGACATCAAATTGACTACATTTGTTGAAAGAGATGATGGAGAAACTCCATATCATCAGTGAAAACAAGGCCAGGGGCAGATTGTGGAACAGACCATCAATTGCTCATATGTAAATTCAAACTAAAGCTGAAGAAAATGAAAACAAGTCCACCTAAGCCAAAATATGACCTTGGATGTATCCCACCTGAATTTAGAGATCATCTGAAGAACAGATTTGATACATTAAACACTAAAGACTGAAGACTAGAAGAGTTATGGGACGACAGCAAGAACATCATACAGGAAGAAAGCAAAGAGTCATTAAGAAGGCAAGAAAGAAGGAAAAGATCAAAGTGGATGTCAGAAGAGACACTGAAACTTGCACTCCAGCGTAGAGATGCTTATGCAAAGTGGCAGCATCAATGGGCTCAAGCATGGCAACAATTGTGAGGTTGGCCCAGGATTGGGCAGTGTTTCATTCTGTTGTGCATAGGGTCACTATGAGTCGGTACTGACTCGATGGCACCTAACAACAACAACAAGTATCTTTTGATATGCTAACACCAATTTCTACCACATCTTGAATTAGAAATCAATGAATATGGAATTTCAAAGGTAAGCACTAGTAAGAGTTTTTTCTCTTTACAGTCACATTGTTTTTCTGAACTGAAATGAAATATCCCACATAAAATCATTTTTTTTCTCTGCTTAGCAACAGATTTATTATTCATTTATTTAAAAAACATGTTAGCACAAAGATATGTTATGTAGAAAGATAAAGCATAACACTTTCCATATTTTTGAAAGAAAAAGACATTTTTCAATTGTAGAAACTGTATAAACACAGACATGAAAAACACCAACATCACACCTTTAAAAAAATTGGCAAGCCCACTTGCCTATAAATGAAAATAAAACTACATTGGTAACTTTGGAAATACTATAGTTCCGAGAACTGTGTGCATGTGTCTTCTGGAAAACCTACAAGTTGGTTCAAATAAAGTTTATCTATGGGAGTAATTCAATATTTAAACCAGGTTGTATCAGGAGCATAAATAGCAATCACAGATGTTTGGTTAGAAAAGAACTGAGCTCCTAAGACCAACAGGCATTTTTATTTAAAACCATTAGCAAGAATTAAGATTGGAGTGACAACGGTTACAATTAGAAATGATGAAACTCTGTCTCCACAGTTTGCTATTACCATCACTATATTAAATTCTTTGAGTCTAGCTTTTCATTTTATGTAAATAAGATTAGTTTATTTCTATCTATGTCATAGCCCTTCAAAAGATAAGAACTTGGAAAAGTAAATAAGGAAAACAGTAGCTAAAGGGCTAATAAATGGAGGAGAGAGATAAATTATTAGAAAAATTTAACTCAACTAACAGTCATTATTATCCACATGGCATTATACCAGAGACTTACAAAGAAAGAGGAAGACACAACTACCTTCCTCTATGAACTTGCAACATATATGATTCAGTAAGAAAAAAAATTAACTTTCCAAGGTAAAACAGTATCACAGGTGAACTTTTGCTTGTGTCAAAAAGTTTAATGTTCCAAATTAAGTGGAAAACCTGGGTGTCATCAAAACAGACTCGACAGGAGAAATATGCATGTGATTACATTCTTAGGGAGATACATTCTTAGGGAGTATGCCATAGGAGTCCCTGGCTGGCACAAATGTTAACACACTTGGCTACTAACCGACAGGTGGGAGGTCCTAGTCCACTCAGAAGTGTCTCAGTAGAAAGACATGGTGTTCTATTGAGTTCATCCACGGAAAATTACTATGAAGCACTTTGCTACTCTGATGCACATGAGTTGCCATGACTTGGAATCAGTTTGATAGCAACTGAATTTTAGGGTTTGGCACAGAAACCCCAGACAGTAGAATAGTATATGATTTAAGTACAAATGAGCAAGGGATTAAGGGGCTGAGTCTAACTCAGAGATGATCTAAAGAATAATGCAATAGACAAAGCAGGCAAATTAGTGGAAGTCCTTGAATATAAATAAGGCTGTGGTGTTGGGGTCTGATTCAAGAGCTAATAAGGAGCCACTGTAGATTTTTAAACAGGAAGATAGATTCAGAAATAGTTAAAAGTTGGGCTTTCATTATGTTAAAACAACCTGGTAGGTTGAAAGAAAATTTGATCAAACCTATGCTTACATGCACATTGTTGATCTGGCCTAAGGGACTGACTACGTTCACTTGGGAGAGCATCATATTTGACGTATGATATGATTATATATGGATATGATGAAAAACTAGATTTTAAAAAAATCTATCTTACATCTAGCCATCTCACCTATTACGAAAATGACATATAAGGCATTTGTAATTGACTGCTGAAAATGATTACTAAATGGTTCTGTAAAAATATATCCCCAAATGGCCAGTTAGCCAGCATATAGCACATTGTAATCAACAATCTCCAAATACTGGACACCTCATTGTCTCTCTCTCTCTCCATCCTTTCCTTAATTATTATTATTATTATTATTATTATTTTTAGTTTTACCTTACTTTACATGGGTGACTGGCAAGGGAAACATGAATTAATGTTTACTGCACGTTTAGTTGGAACTTATGGACCATATAGCACTCTGTTAGATGCTCTACACATATTATTAAATTGAATCTTGTTGTGTATATATGATGGTGGTGGTTATGTGCTGTGGAGTCGGTTCTGAGTCACATAGACCCTGTACAGAGTTTCCAGACCCTGTACAGAGTTTCCAAGGCTGTAAAACTTTACTGGAACAGTAAGTCTCATCTTTCTTCTGTGGAACCACTGGTGGTTTCAAACTGCTGACCATGAGATTAGCCACCCGACTCGTAACCACTACGCTACCAGAGCTCCTTGTGTATATGATGCAAGGATCTGTAAGAAGTTTTTCAGGGAAAAATGTATAGAAAACGAGGAATAGAAAAATTTAACCTGCAATTAGGAGTCTTCTAAATATTGTGTGAATGTTACTAATTTATATCTGTTAACCACAGTATACAATGAAAAGAAAACACTCCTTGATCACTTTTCTTAAGGATAATCAATAATTTATTTCTCTTTTATCATCACATTTACCACGATTATCTAGCTACATGACAAATGTCACTACATATCACAGGAAGACTGTCTACCTACTCTTTACTGAGACGAAGACAACTGCCATTTATGTGTTAAATGTACAATGGCATGTTAAGAAGAGGTGGTTTTTATGTGTAAAACAAAATGTGGCAGGTGATGTATAAACAAATTTGATTTAATACATATTATGCCAAGATGCAAGCATAGAAATGTTTTGGCATTGAGTTGTTATTAAAGTAGAAAATAAGCAAACTAGAGAAGTAAATCCAGATATTAACTTACAATAGATACGTTAATTAGGAAATTAATTGGCTCCTCAGTATTTTTGTTCAAGTTTTTGTATTGTTTTGTTTCCTTTTTTTTTTAGTTTTTGTTTTTTATAAATGAGTAATACGAATATATCACAAGTTAAAGGAAGATCTCAGCCAAAAAGAAGATACCAGTATATGAAAACAAATGAAAAAATTACCAGGTATTTTTGTTTACAAAAATTTAAACTATAAAGAGTCACAAAATATATATAAAAATGCCACATTGAACGAGGCAATCATACCCTACCCAAAGTGGTAGCACCCTCTTAAAATCAGTTGCACACACACAATCATACAGTTGTGACTGACAGAAAGGCATTGTGAACTCTTGTGCCATCGGGAGACTTGGCCCCATGGGTCATAAGTTCTTGGATTGTCATCCAGTTGTCCAAAATTTTCTTGTTCCTTTTTTTCATCATCTTTTTGTGACTTAGTTCAATGATGTTGATCTCTTTCTTGCCCTCATTACCACTCTGAGGACTCTCCTTGAGACACTCTAAGCGGCTTCGCATCATGAACTCTCGGCGCCGACGCTGCTCTTTGGCTCGAACCAGGTGTTGCTTTCTCTCCTCTTTGCTCCAGTAGCGCCCCATTTTCATCTCACTCATGGTATCATCATCTGTTGTCATGCCACTCCGCTCCTCCTTGATCTTTAAGGCACGTTCCTTCAGAATTCGATCTCTCACTGGTCTCTTGGTTATGTATCGTGTCCCGTCGCTCCTAATTTTTACCTTCCATTCCATCTTGGGCTCTGAACACTTCTGAGACTCTTTGCACATGCTCACTAAGCTGAGCTGACTCTGAGCATACTCCACTGCAGATTTCTGTTGAATTAGCTGCATGTAGCTTTGATAATGCCGGGCATGTGCTGGGATGTTTGCATACCTGTATGAAGAGCTGTGGTAAGGGGAGAGGTAAGGGATGTGCTCAGTGACTGTCTTTTCTTGTTCAGGAAACATGTTGCTTTCCAAAACCTCCTTACCTTCAACACTACCCCCTTGTTCAGTGATTCTGGTTTGGGGTGAAGATGACTCTTTACTACTCAATCCAGAGAACGATTGATTGGCTGCAATTGTACTTCTCAGATTTTTCTTATTGGTGAGGTGGATCATCCTGGGGAGGGAGCTGTCAGGGGACCGGTCCACAGTGAGTGGAGTACTGCGGCAGCTTTCTGCTGTGTTGTAAGCACTGGAGCTGTCTTTGTCAGACTTTTCTGGGTGTTCAATGATGTCATCTAGCTTTCCTCTTTGCATATCTACACTGGTATTATAATTTCGGAATCCTCCATCATGTAATGCCCAGATGTCACCATATTGGTCTGTCACTTTCTGAAGCCGGTGAGCCTGCATGATATTCTGGCATTCAAGTTCAATATTTCTTAGCTCTTCATTGAGCAACTGGAGCTCATGCTCTACTCCCTCTTGCTCCCCTTGATTGCATTCAATTGTGCTGCTCGAGTAATATAGGTCATACTCTCCATGGTTTCGTATCTTGCATTTGAGCTCCAAGAGTTGCCGGAATCTTTCACATTCCTCATCTTGGTTTCCAATGCAGTCTGAGTCCACATATTCACCAGACACGAAGCTCTCGTTGCACTGAAGTTCAATGCTTCCTAGAGTGTCTTGGCTCTGCCCCAGGTCCCTCTTGCTCTTCAAAGAAGTGCTGTTGGGGTCCTCAGCAGCATTCTCCTGCTCTGAACTCTCATCATTGCGCAAGCTCTCATCTGTGCGCCCTACTCCACTGTCCTTCTCGTGGTTGTTGGAAGAAGATGTTGCTGTATCTGTTGCACCTTCTTCTTCTTCTTGCTTTTTTGGCTGAGAAAACAAAGGTGAGAGAACAAAGAAAATTAATCATTTAAAAAAACATCAGTTCTTGAAAATCTTGTTTATAAAATAATATTTCTTGGTAAAAATGCAATTTTAACAGCCATGATAATTTTAGAAATACAAGCAATTTGCTCATGGCTGCTTATTTGGCAATGACATAAAGAAAATACAAGTTGCTTGAATATGGCTATGAATTGCACTTGGGGATAAATAAAACAGACTACACTGAAGTACCACCACTCATCTTTCAGTTTGTCATACTGTGATGGCTTGTGAGTTGCTGTGATTCCGGAATCTATGCCAACAGTATTTTAAATACCAGCAGGGTCACCCATGATGGACAGGTTTCAGATGAGCTTCCAGACGAAGACAAACTAGGAAGGAGTGACAAATTACTTTCGAATATTTATTCACTGAAAACCTTATGAATAGCAGAGAAACACTGTCAGATATAGTGCCAGAAAATGAGCCCCTCAGGTTGGAAGGCACTCAAAATGTGACTGGGGAAGAGCTGCCTCCTCAAAGTAGAGTTGACCGTGATGATGCAAATGCAGTAAAGCCTGTGAGAGAAAATCCTGTGGGACCTTTATTTGCTGATGGGGCACAACTCAAAATGAAGAGAAACAGCTGTAAACATCCATTAATAATCGGAACATGGAATGTATGAAGTATGAATCTAGGAAAATTAGAAATTATCAAAAATGAAATGGAATGCATAAACACTTATATCTTAGGCATTAGTGAGCTGAAATGGACTGGTATTGGCCATTTTGAGTCTGGCAACCACATGGTTTACTATGCTGGTAATGAAAAATTGAAGAGGAATGGTATTGCATTCATCGTCAAAAAGAACATATCCAGATCAGCCATGAGGTATAATGCTGTCTGTGATAGGATACTATCCATGTGCCTATAGGAGCTCTGGTAGTGTTGTTGTTGTTGTTAAGTGTAGTGGTTATGAATTGGGCTACGGGCTGCAAGGTCAGCAGTTCGAAACTACCAGCTGTTCCGCGGGAAAAAGATGAGGCTTTCTGCTCCCATCATAAAGATTTACAGCCTCGGAAACCCTGTACAGGGTCGCTATGAGTCGGAACCGACTCCACAGCACATAACAACAATAACATAGGGAAGCCCAGTTAATACCACTATTATTCAAATTTATGCACCAACCACTAAAGCCAGTGAGGATGAAATAGAAGAATTCGACCAATTCTTCCACTTGAAATTGATCAAACATGCAAATAAGATGTATTGATCATTACCGGTGATTGGAATGCAAATGATGGGAACAAAGAAGAAGGATCAGTAGTTTAAAAATGATGGCTCTTTGGAGGCCAGGATGGCCAAACTTCATCTCTCATACTTCGGACATATGGTCAGGAGGGACCAGTCCCTGGAGAAGGATATCATGTTTGGGAGGGTGGAGAGTCATAGAAAAAGAGGAAGACCCCCAGTGAGATGGATTGCCAAGTGGCAGCATGAATGGGCTCAAGAGTGGCAACAACAGTGAGGTTGGCCCAGGATCGGGCAGTGTTTCATTCTGCTGTACATAAGGTTGCTATGGGTTGGTACTGACTGGATGGCACCTAACAACAACAACAACAACACTGAAGGAAGAGAACTAATGAAAGATCTTTTTTACTTGAGAAACTCTGGGGTAAAGGTGTATAAAGGAAAGAATTCATTCGCTTCTAAGATGCTCACTGTAGGATCAGCACTGGACTGATAACCACAAGGTTGGTGGTTAAACCCACCAGGCTCTCCTTAGAAGCCCTACACAGTGTTGCTATGAATCAGAAGGCACTTAAAAGCACTTAACAAAAGTGATAATACACAAACAAATGAGTAAGCAGAATGCCTAAATGTTCTTTAACATTTTGGAGGCCTGGCGTTCAGAAAGTAAAATCACTTTTTTTTTTTCGTTTGAACTTTCCTCAAGCAAATGGAAATAAAACATAATCCTTAGGCAATTTAATAATATGGTAATAATGGCAAGTCAAGCATCAACCAATTGCAGGAATGGACTAACATTATGTTAGCACTGGAGCAGAGGACCTTGTATCTGTAGATGTTGTTGTTAAGTGTCGTGGAGTTGGTTCCGACTCATAGCAACCCTGCACAGGGTTTCTGAGGCTGTAAATCTTTTCGGAAGCAGAATGCCTCATCTTTCTCTTGTAGAACTGCTGGTAGCGTCAAACTGCTGACCTTGTGGTGCACAGCCCGATTTGTAAGGTGGGGAACCTTAATCCCAGGGGGATCCAGATTACTATGAATACATCTCCATTTCTCATAGGATGCCAGGGAATGGTATACTGGATACGTGTACTTTGATCCCCATAGTTCCAACTCTCCAAACCCAGTTGCTCAGAAGCAAAATACTATGTTTTAGCCCTCATTTAAGTTGTTAGTTGTTTTTGAGAGAATTCAAGCTCATGGTAACACCACGTGTGCAGAGCAGGGTTTTCAAGAATGCAGCCTTTCATAAGCAGATCACCAGGTCTAGTCACCAACCTTTTGAACCACCAATCTTTCAGCTAGTAGATGAGAGCTTAATGATTTGTGCCACCCAGGGACTCCTCATTTAAATTATGTTAACATTGTTTTTTCTGCTCTTAACCAGTAGTTATTTTCTAAGGTGAGCTTTATTCTCCTTAGAATAGAAATGACAGTCCCCCAAGAAAATCTGATCAGGCCAATTGCCAGACATAAATATAATATCAAAAACTATACAAGGGGGCTTCAAAATGGTTGTAGAAAAAAATCAATTCTCTTTTATTTCCATTTTTCTATGAATTTGTTGATGTCTCCTCATATCGATTGATATCTATGTATCTAAGTTTGTATGCATCTATCTATCTATCTATCTATCTATCTATCTATCTATCTATCTATCTATCTATTATCATCAACATCATCTATTATATACCATCATCACAATTGTTGTTGCTTTTGAACCCATTGCTGCTGCCACTGTGCCAATTCATTGCATTGGAGGTTTTCCTCTTTTTCACTGTCCCTCCACTCTACCAGCATGATGTCCTTTTCCAGGGACTAGTCCCTCCTGATAACATGTCCAAAGTATAAGAGATGAAGTCTTGCCATCATGGATTCTAAAGAGTGCTCTGGCTGTATTCATTCCAACACAAACTTGTTCTCATAATCCATGGTACTTTTTATATCCTTTTCCAACACCATAATTCAAATGGCCTTCCTTATTCATTGTTCAACGTTCATGGACACATGAGGTGATTGACAATACCATGGCTTGGGTCAGGAGCACCTTAGTCCTCAAACTGGTATCTGTGCTTTTTAACACTTCAATGAGTTCTTTTGCAGCAGATTTGCCTAATGCAATCAGTCATTTGATCTCTTAACTGCTGCTTCCATGAATGTGGAGTGTAGAGCCAAGCAAAATGAAGTCTTTGATCACAGGTATCTCTTCTCCATTTATTATGATGTTATTTACTGGTCCAGTTGTAAGGGGTTTTGTTTTCTTTACATTGAAGTGTAATCCATACTGTAATAGTCTAAGATTTTCATCAGTATTTTTACTCTATGCTTCCAGCAAGCACATGCTCTTTCTCAGTGAATAGTGAGTTTCTCCACCAATGCTCATCATACAGTCGTCTACATGACGGTTTCTAGATCATATTCACCTTATTTCTAAGTTTACTCACTACTAGATATAATTTTTTCGCTATTACTTGTGATTACATAATTAAATATTGTTGGTTAGTGTTAAAGAAAGGAGGGTGGTAAAAGGCATTATAAAACAGGACTCGAAAGAGTCTGTCTAGATAATTGTAATTTCTCCCACATAAATAATGACAGTACAAACTTTAACATTGTTGTTGTTGTTGTTATGTGCCATCGAGTCGGTTCCGACCCATAGCGACCCTGTATAGGGTTTCCGAGGGTGTAAATCTTTACGGGAGTAGAAAGCCTCCTCTTTCTCCCGCAGAGCGGCTGGTAGTTTCGAACCGCTGACCTTAAGGTTCGCAGCCCAATTCTACGCTACCAGAGCTCCTTAGAACAAACAAAATATGACCATGTATCATGTCCTAGGACTCCCAATCCTTCCCTAAAATATTTCCCCTCATTTGTTGAATATAATGATGTTAAATGTGTCACTGATAAAAAATAAAGCTGTTAAGTAATTTTAACTAACAATTCCTAGAGCTTCTTATATACCTGTGACCCTCACTAGCAGCTGATAGTAGAATTAAATGTGGCAACACCTACACACGCTCTCATTAAAACCCCAAAGGATGCTAGTGATATCTGACATTTGAGTTTATATATTGTATTATTTACACTTACATTCTTTACATATGCCATAATGAGCTGAAAAGATGCAAGGCTGGTATTTTTTTCTAATTTTACATGCAGTACAGGTGGTTGTTGTTGTGTTGTTGTGAAGTGCCATCGAGTTGGTTCTGACCCATACCGACCCTGTCTGGGGTTTCCTAGGAGTGGCTGGTGACCTTGAACTGTTGACCTTGCAGTTCAAACAGCTTTGCAGTCTGGCACATTAATCCACAGCGCCACACCAGGATAGGTGGTAAAGGCAAATTATACTTTAGGAGATGTTGTACTGCAGCTATAGGATTCAGTGTAGACAATATCTAAAGTAGAAATTTCTATAACGTAGTTTTACATATGGGTATGTGTTTTATTCATTTATTGTTAGTGAGTTTCTCTTTTGTTGCTAGTTTAGAAGCTATTGTGAAAATAAAAGGTTTTTCCATTCTCAAACCCAGCATTCCTGGTTTGTGATACAATGATATTCTACCATTTATCATTTCCCTATGGAATTATTATAGTGACAGGTAATGTTTCTACCAAGACATTTCTAATGTTGTATTATTGTTTATAAGGGCAAAGGACTTTTAAAGGTTTCTGTACTTCTCAGCATTTTTCAGTCTCATGGGGAAGAAAAATTTCCACACAATGTGAATCTAACCTCAGGGACATCTAGTGTTACCTCA